ACCGAGGGGCGACGTCTGAGCAGAGGAAGCACGGAACGAGCTTTGCCAGTAAAGGGAACAGCAGGTGCAGAGGCCCTGGGGTGAGGACGTGGCCGGTGGGGTGGGCTTGGGGGAAAGGGGGCTGCTATATTTGGCATGACTGAGTGAGGTGGAGAACAGGAGAGAATTTTTAAAAGTCAAAATATAATTCACATAACCTAAAATTGACCCTTGTAAAGTATATAATTCAGTGTTTTTTAGTATTTTCACTATGTTGTACAAACACCACCGTGACCTGATCCCAGAACATTTCCGTCCCCCAGAAAAAAAGCCCCAGAACCACCAGCAGCCCTTCCCTGCACCCCAGTCCTCTCGTTTCCCCGGGGGGCGGCCAGCGCTGCTGTCCTCTCTGTCTCTGTGGGTCTCCCGCTGCTGGGCACTCCCGTCACAGGGGTCACGTGCCACGTGACTTCGGGGTCTGGCTGCTTCCACTCGGCGGGTCTCCAGGGGCCGCCCCCGATGTGGTGTGTGTCGGAACATCACTCCTCTCTGTGGCTGAAGGGTGTTCCCCCTGGGCAGACGGACCACATTCTGTCCATTCCAGCACGGACAGGAGTCACTTCTGTCTCTTGGCCACGATGAACCGTGGACAGGTCTTTGTCACGACGTATGTCTTGGATGTGTGTGCATATCCTTCCGCGCGTGTTGCTGGGTACTCTACGTGTGACCCGTTGGAAGAGCTGCCAGGCCGGTTTCCAAAGCCGCTGCACAGTTTCACGTCCCCACCGGCCGTGGGTGACAGTTTCAGTTGCCCCACATCCTCACCAGCACTGTCACTTTCCATTTTCGTGGGTGTGGCCGTGCTGGTGGCTGCGAAGCAGCACAGGGGGAGATCTGGAGCCGTGGAGGGCGTCGGCTTGAACAGGGTCTCGCGGGGGAGAGGACTGGGAGGGAGCAGAGGAGAAGGCCGGGGGGGAGGGGTGTCGGTGAGCAGGGCCCCGCACTCCTCCCAGCGAGAGAGGACAGTACCAGGTGCCGGGGCGGTGGCGCGGGAGCGGGGAGAAGTGGGCGCATCTGGGGTGCATTTTTCAGGCAGAACCGAGAGGATGTGCGTGCAGGTTGGATGGGACGAGGGGTGAGAAGGGAAGAGGAGTCCGAGATGCCCCAGGTGTCCGGCTGGAGCGACTGGACGGTGGCTCGGCCACGTGTTGGGTTGGAGAAGGCAGTGCGTTGGGGGTCTCTCCATGTTTTCTCATGCTGGTCCCTTGGTGGGCAGGGGCAAACCCCCTTTCTTCCTTCTCTTTCTTCTTCTTCTTTTTTTTTTACCAGCTAGGAAGTTTTGATTGACACTTTGGTAGCGGAGAGGGATGTGGAAGAAGAAAGCAAATGCCATAATTCACACGTGTTAAAAAAAAAGTGTCCCTGGCTGTGCCCTGAGTGTTACTGGAAGCGAGCCATTTGCGCTCATCCCCTCGGAGCGGGGGACAGCTCGTGCCCAGGGAGTTGCAGAGGACAGCGGGGCGTTCCTTCTGGTTACGGGTGGGTTGGAAGGGTGTGTGGTCTGCGGCCTGCAGGGCTCTGGTGTCTGAGGCGACCGAGGGGATTGTCTGGAGAGAAAATTGTCCCATGAATGATTTGTGGGCATGGCGGGGTGGCCACGCCTGAGCCCCTTCTCGTGGGCTGGGGATGTCTTGGGGCTTGTCCCTCCCTCGGATCCCACCCGACGGTGCTCACTCCCGCCACAGGCACGGCCCTGAGACCCCAGCTGAGGGGGAGCAATGGAGGGTCACGCTTTCCCCTGCCCCGGGAGCGCTTGGGTGGTTACAGACTTCAGCTCCGCTGTCAGAGTGCTCAGGGTCAAATCTGGCTGCCGTACGTAGGAGCTGTGTGACCTTGAGCTTTCGGGTCCGTGGTTTCTCAGGTTGTAGGGGCGTTTCCAGCACCTGCTGCAGAGAGTCCTCCTGAGGCTCAGGTGCGGCCATCCGTATGGCCGCTGGCCCTTGTGTTTCTGAGAGCTGCAGAAGGCAGCTGCTGCCTGGCCGCACTCCCGTTAGAGGGTCTAGCCGCCTTTATTCTTGCAGGTGAACCTCCCAACAGCCGTGCCTGGTGGCAGTTCCTGTCCCTGGGGGAGCCACCAAAATGCAGACATTGTGCCCGTGGGGTAGGGTCACATGTCTGGCAACAGAGGAGACAGGATTTGAACCCAGGACCGACTCACTTCCTTTCTGCCCATGCGGGGATAGGTTGCAACGTGCTTCCTGTGAGCAAAGAGCCGCAGGCCGCTAGTCCAGCTGGGGCGGGTCCACACCCTTGCTCCGAGGGGGGGGTCTCCCGCCCGGCCCCCCACCTCATCCCCATCTCGCTTGCCTCCCTCCCCATCAGAAGGAACTGTCAAACCCTCTCCCATCTGCTTTCTCCCTCCATGCCTTAAAGCTTTATTTTTTTTTAACCATGATTTTGGGGGAGAACTTCCTGTGTGTTTCCCCCCTCCGCCGAGGTTGCCTCCCCCTGTCAAGCCTCCTCCCCCGTTCAGGCGCAGAAATAGTCCCAGCTGTGAGATGAAGGTTCCAGAGCTTAAAATTGCAACTGGGGGCTATTTATACTGCAGCCGGAAAGATGCCTCTTCGCACAGCCGTTTTACTTTGTTGTGGTGGCGACAGCCCGCGCTGCAAGCCGCCAGCTCTGGCACTGTGTAAACAGTTCTCGGGGGACAAGTGGGCGGTGAGGGAGCCTTCAGGTATGGGGGGGCGGGGGACAGAGCCATGCCTGGGGTCGCCTCCCGGGGGCAGAATGATGTGACCTGGGAAGCCAGAGAAAGAGGTTCGAGATCTAGGTGAAGGTTCTTTCTAGATGCCTGGTGATTAAAACAACGAACAAAGAAAAAAAACCCAGGTATTTTATAAGTCATGAAGGTTGTACGTACCGAGGGGGGGAAGGTTCAAACCGATCCTTACACAGGTGATGAAAGCAGGGGTTACGAACAAGCAGACCCTTTCCCCACTCGTGTTTGGGTTGGCACACGGAGTGTTAAAAAATTATTTATTTTGAATTTGTGCCACTGTTTAAAAATTGGGACATGTACCATGCAATGAGAATGGCTGGTCTCTTGGAAACTGGGAGGCTCTGGCACCCCTGGGCCTGTTTCCTGATGGCGGCTGGTGACCGGGGGCTCGGGCACCTTGGAGTCACCACGACACCCAGCGGCCGCTCCTCGCTCTCGCGTCCTGATGGCTCGAGTCCGGGACCCTTCAAAAACCATGAAGCCTTCACGTCGCCCTGGCTGACCCTCCAGTCCCCACTCTGCAGGGACAAGGGAACACGATGAACAGGGTTTCCAAAGAAACGACAGGATTCCCAGTGAAACTTGGTTTTCTGATGAACAACAAGTAACACTTTAGTGCACGTGTATCCCCTGACTAGTCGCGGGTCAGTGTGCACGGGTCAGTACGGACCGCAGGCCTCCATCTGCCGGCCGCACGCGAGTCTCGGTGCTCATACAGGGTTGGGCTTGCGTCCTGCGTCTTCTGCAACTCCTGTTTCCTTTCTGGGGTGTATCTTTCTTGCCTTCTTTTTAAAATTTTATTTATTTTTAAAGATTTTATTTATTTATTTATTTTAGAGAGGGGAAGGGAGGGAGAAAGAGAGGGAGAGAAACATCAATGTGTGCTTGCCTCTCCTGCACCTCCCACCAGGGACCTGGCCCACAACCCAGGCATGTGCCCTGACTGGGAATTGAACCGGTGACCCTTTGGTTCACAGGCCCATGCTCAATCCACTGAGCCGCACTAGCCAGGGCTCAAGTTTTACTCATTGATTTGAGAGAGAGAGAGAGAGAGAGAGAGAGGAAGGGAGAGAATGACAGAGACATATCAATTTGTTGTTCCACTTATTTATGCACTCATTGGTTACTTATTTATGCACTCATTGGTTGCTTCTTGTATGCACCCTGACTGGGGACTGAACCCGCAACCTTGGTGAATCAGAATGATGCTCTGATCGAACCAACTGAGCTACCTGGCCAGGGCTCTCCGGGGTGTTTCTCAGAGGACCTTTCTCGGGGTTTGTAAGAGCAGACTTTGAGGCTGTGGACTCAAACATCCGTGGGAATCCCGGCCCCACCACAGGCTAGCTGGGCAACCTCCAGCAGGCTGCCTCGCCTGTCTGAGCCTCAGTCTGCCCATCTGAACAATGGGGATGATAAGGGTAGTGTTGTTATTTCCTGTTGGTGTTTCCTTCCTCCCTCCCTCCCTCCCTTCCTTCCTTCCTCCCTCCCTCCCTTCCTTTTTTTTTCTTTGCCACTATACCCCATCATTAAAGTGTCTATAATGAAAAAGAAGGAAAATACCAAGTGTTGCAAAGTCTCATCATTGCTCACAAGGGTCTAAACTGGCACAGTCTCTTTGGAAAACTGATGGTACTAGTATGATCCAGCAATTCAGTCTCCAGGTATGTACGTCAAAATGCGTGTGCATTCACCAAAAGACATGCTTGAGAATATTTATAGTAATCCTTATTCGTACTGACCCTAAAGAGGAAAAAGATCCAAATGTATCAGAAGTGGAACAGATAAAAAATGTGGGATATTCATGACACGTGTGACTGTATTACAGTGACCATGAATAAGCAACTATGTACAACACGGTGGGCGAATCTCACAAATCCGATTTTGAGCAGAACACATGAGGTGTCACTGTGATCTTACATAACGTGGAGTTCAAAAACAAGCAACAGTGACTTCTGGGATAGAACTGGTGGTCACCTGTTGGTGTTCCTGTCATGTCTTTGGAAAGCCACATAGAGGGCCTGGTTGCGGGCTTGAACCGGTCCCCGGGTGTCAAGGTCGCTGCCCGCTTGTCCCCGTTTCAGAGTGAGGCTACGGGAGGCTTTGGAAAGGGAAGGGAGGTCTGGAGGGAACTGGGCAGATATTCTAAGATTTAGTTGCTTTTTTTATTTTTTTAATTGAAGGGCGTTTGTCTCCCTGGAAACCACTTGCTAATCTCCAGGCTATGGTCTCCTTGCAGGCGAAGGAGGTGGAGGAGTCCATCGAGGGGCTGCTCCTGAGGCTGGAGGAGTTCTGCGCTCTGACTGACATGGTGAGCTTTCCCCCGGAGGCGTGGGTTGAGACCCAGGCCCCACGCCCGCCCTTCCTGGGGCGGGGGGGAGGTGATCCGGGGAACCCTCTCTGGGTGGGGATCTAGCCACCTGAAGGAGAGGGACGGCGGCGGGAGCCGAGCCACCCGCACACTGCGCCTGCCACTGTCTCCCACTCCCAACCCCAAGGCGTCCTCAGGCAGCCATCTTGGCCACAGCCTTCCCCCCAGATGGCTCTCGTTCCAGGGAGGAGCCAGGCGCGGGCCACCAGGTGGCACTCTCGGACGCCGCTGCGGGGAGCCGCGCGGCGGGGATGCTAGGACTATATTTAACTTCCCTCGGCGCTGCGCAGCCGGCCAGGCGAACATGGAGCCGGCCAGGAAATGGCTCCAGGCCTGGGAGGCCTGGGAGGGGCCGGCTGCCCAGGCTGCAGCCTGCGGCGGGGTGGGCATCGTCGGGTTCTTCCCCGAATCCTGTTGCTCTCTCCACTGTAGCCTCCTACCCTGTTCTTGTTTTGGATTTTTGGTTATTTGGGTCTTTCTGGATCCAGTCCCCTTGGCTGGGTGGGGCAGAACACCGACGTGGTAACTCAGGCCCAGAGAAAAGCTCTTCCCTCCACGTGGTATAGAAATCTCCTCTAGATCCTAGTGTCCCCAGGGCTGCTGCCTCCAGCAGGGGGGAGGCCCCAAGCAGCAATGATAGAATCTTCTGGAAGTTCCCAAGCTTATTAAAGGCAAAGCAGCATCCAGAGATGGAGGCTTCTGGCAGGAAGCTCAGAGGCTGGAGTTCTGGGTTCCCCGCCTGTCTCTGGAGCTGGGGCAGCTCGCCGGGCCCGGTTGGGCTGATTTGCGCCCCCGAGAAGCCAGGTCTGCGGGAGCCCAAGGCAGCGACAGTGACAGCAGCCCTGACCTTGACTCGGCATGTACTTTGTGCCTGGCACCCGTGTCATCTCACGTCCCCTAGAGGCAGCCCAGCGTGACGGGCGCCACGCTGTCCCCTTCACTCAACAGGCCCGCCTGGCGCCAGGCCGGGGGCACTGCAGCGAACGGACAGCGGTGTTCCCATAAGGACCTGTGTGTGCTTCTCCTGAGAGCCAATGTCTTAGTTCGGGCGGGGGCTCAGCTGGGGGCTGGGCAGCGAGACGTCTCTGAACGGCTGGAGAGTTCCTTCTTCCTCACCAGACACCGTACACCTTCTCGGCCTGGGTCCCGTGGGAGTCTGAGGATGCAGAGAGTCCAGTCGGGTTGTGTCCCCCGTGAGCCCCCAGGCTATCCGGGGAGCCCAATTTCTGCTGCGGTCACTGCCACTGAGGACAGAAATGCTGTCACAGCGGCGTGCTCAGGGGCGGAGGCAGGCTGCAGAGGTTTTGAAAGGACAAGGAGGGTCTAGGAGGAACTGGGCACGTAATCCTAAGACTTAGTTTGCTTTAAAAAAAAAAAAAAAGAGCAGAGGCGTTAATTCTGCCTGGGAAATTGAATTGGAAAGGCTTCGCAGGGCAGGCAGTGACTAATTTGGGGGCTTGAAGGAGCAACAGAAGGAATTCGGCCACTGGGGACAGTGGGTGTCGGCAGAAGGACTGACCTGTGGGTGGTGTGTGCGTGGGCAGGGAGGGGGCGAATTTGGAAGGTGCTGTGGGTGTGGACTGGTGACCCAGAGACATTTTTGTGGACAAGGCCTAGCCCATCCCCCTCCCGTGAAAGGAGGCCCACCCCACCATTCCGGAGGACAGTCGTGGGTGGGGGTCCGCTTGGACAGGTGGACAGGGACCCAGGCCACGCTTGCCTGGAAAACCACGCAGGCTCCCTGTGCTGGAAGCCTGTGTCTGGGGCGCCCAGCGGCCCAACACCGCAGGCTACCGGGGGGGAGCTCCTCTCCAGACTCAGAGGCCGGAGACGTACGTGCGCAGAGATTCTCAAACAAGGTCACCCAGGTGACCTACAGGCCCCACCCTGCCTGCAGAGCTATCAGAGATACAGAGATATGCCTGGGTGGGGGGAAGGAATTCGCTGCTGACATTTATGGAATGTCATGCAAAAAATCCGGATTTCTGGCTTTTCTTACGAAAACGAAGGTCTGGCTGCCCCTCCCACCTGGCCAGCGCCAGCTAGAGCCGCCGCGTAGTGGCTCTCCCTGACACTGTGACAGCTCACCACTGTCCCCACCACCCGCTGTGGGAGCCTCCCTGACTCCACAGCCCCCTGCTAGGCACGACCATCAGTGGCCGGTGTGTTTCAAGGTCAAGGACGTTTCTCTGCTTGGGCCCTACTGAAAGCGAGCGAATAAAACCTGAGCCAGCGGCCCCATGTTCCAAGAAATGGGAGAGCGTGCACTTCCCGTGGACGTAAAAATGATTTCAGTGTGTTTATGTGCAAACGAGCGTGTCTGCACTGATAGGATGTGCCTAGCGTGCATGTCTATGGCCCCTGGAGGCGTTTGGAGCTCGTACCCCCACGTCGATGCTCTGTGCTGACGCGGTTTAGATCGGGGTCCTCTGGGCCCCAGCAGCTGGTGCCTCGTGTGTCTGCATCCCAGTGTCGTGAACTCTGTGGCCCTGGGAGAGGTGTCCAGCTCTCAGCTCTGGCTCGGACCCCATTTCTCTCTCGATCTAACCTAGAGGTGAGTGGGGACTTCGGGGAGCAGGCGACGTCATCCCGTGGACTGCTGTCTGGATCCCTGCCTTGGCGTTTGGAAACACTGATCGAGTTAGAGGCCTGAGAGACGCCAGGCTCCCGGGTACCTGGTCCACAGAGCAGCCGCGCCACTTCTGATAAAAATCAGGCTATTTGAGGTGAGAGGCCGGCTTCCTGTCTGACACATTGACTCCTCTGCTGGCCTGTCCTCGGTCACTCGCTGAGACTGGACCTTGCCACCCTGTGCCTGTGACCCGTTTTGACCTTAGATATAGTGCCAGTTGCTGCCACTTCAAGCTCTGAGTCTTCCCACGGTAGGGCGTGGGGCACAGTGTGTCACCTCTCCATACCTTTATTTCCTCCTCTGCAGAATGGAGGTAATGGTCCTGACGATCCGTTGCTACGTTGAACTATCCCGGAACTTAGTGGTGTAAAGCAATAACCCATTTAGGGTGCGGGTCTGAGCCCCGTGGCACCTGCTGGGCCGGGGATGCCCAAGGTGGCGCCTTCCCTCGCTGGTCAGACGTCGGGGCCGGGAGGGTGGCGTCGCTGGGGGCTGGGCGGCCCACCTGTTCTCCGTCAGCTCTGCACGTGGCTGGCTTGGACGGCCTCACCCCACGGCGGCCTGGCCCCCAGACCCCCAGAGCGGGCACTCCGACCGACAGGAAGCAGAAGATGCCAGTCTCCGGAGGCTCGTGTGTGGAAATGGACACAGCGTCACTTCTGTTGTATTTCTTTCTTTCTTTCCTTTTTTCTTTGGTCAAAGCAGCCACATACCTCACCCCTATCCAAGGGGAGAAGACGCAGGCCTGCCCAGCCTGTCCCCTTCCTGGAGGGAATGCCAGGAACTCGTGGGCACCTTGAACCCTCTCCGAGTGGCGTCCGTGTCCACAGGGTCACCGCGAGGAACACCCAAGGCGGGACGTGCGCTCTGCGTCCACCCGAGCGGCCGGAGCGAGGAGCACAGACAACAGCGTGTGCGGACGTGGGGGATGCGGCCCAGCGGGAGCTCTGGTTCGTCTGCTGGTGGAGATGCAGATGCGCTCAGCCCCCCTGGGAAATCGTCCAACATACACTCGCCCTGTATCCCAGCAGTCCTCACCCTAGACAGTCACCCAGGAGAAGCGAAGACAGGTGTCCACAAAGACGCGAACACAAGGGTCCCTAGCAGCTCGGTCCGTGGCACCCTTCACCGGGGACAGCCCCCATGCCCCTCGGCGTAGCAGTGGGAGAGGCGGTGGTCACGCGTCCCCACGCGGCCACGGGAAGGAGTGAACGGCGGCGGGATGACTCTCAGACGCGGTGCTGAGCGAAGGAAGCTGCCCGCGGGAACCCCTTCTGCGAGGTTCCTTCAATGTGAAGTTCAAAAACACGCAAGACTGCCTTGGCCGGGTGGCTCGGTTGATTGGAGCGTCATCCCGTACACCAGGAGGTCGCAGGTTCAATCCCCGGTCGGGGCACGTGGGAGAGGCAACTGATGGATGTTCCTCTCTCTCTCTCGTCCTTCCTCTCCCTCTAAAATCAATAACCACGTCCTCGGGTGAGGATTTAAAAAATAAAAGGCAAAGCTCAGTAACAGTGACGGGAGTCAGAGAGTGGTGAGCGCTGGGAGGGTGCCGTGCCTGGGGGGCGGCCCGGCAGAGCCTCCTGGGGTGACGGCGTGGCGTGTGCACCGCCACCGTGGGGGGAGGCCACACAGACGCACACACGCATGTGCAGATCGATGGAGCTGTCCAGTCGGGCCTGGGCACGGTACCGTGACTTGCACTCAGTTAAAAATAATTGCTTAGCAGGCTGCCTGCCGTGTACTAAGGGACCCCGACCCAGCAGCTACCGAGGCTGTCGCCGCCCCTGTCAGAGCCCCAGAGGGCGGTGACACCACCGAGGTTATATACAGACTGGGGTTGGTACGGCCTCCCGGCTCAGCGCCCGCGGGGGTGCGGGCGGCACGGCCAGGTCCCCTGGAACCGCGGTGGCCTCGGGCCCACCTCCTGGCAGGCAGCAGGCTCTTCCTTCGCTCGCATAAATGGAGAAAATTTCCTGTTGGCCTCCGCCCAGCAGTTGCATTTGGCGTTGGTGTGTGTTCCTGGGTCAAGTGCATTTGGCTTTCCTTCCTGGGGGCCCTGAATCATCCTGGACAGCCGTCTCTGCTCTGTGATAACCCCACCTCCGCTGCCCAGACTTCGGGGCTCTGGGGGCCGGCCGTGGGGGAGGAGGAGAACAGGCTGGGGAGGGTGCGGCGAGGGCCTGCCGGGCCCCCAGCCCAATAAACTCGGCTGCGGGGGAGGGGGGCGGGGCTTGTCCTGGCAGGGGCTCCAAAAGCTTTGAGTTCTCACCGACACCTCTTCGCTCTTCTCAGCAACGTGCAAAACACGCAAACGCAGACGCGTGTGACGGCGTGATGAGGTGCAGTGGGCTGGGCGTGTGACCAGAAATGGGTCTCTTTCCCTGGGCTCCCCTGGAAGAAGAAAGGTGCACAGTGTGCCCGTGGACACCATGCCAGGGAGACACTAGGGAGTGGTGGGGACTGCAGTTAACCAAAGGGGGCAGCTGTCACCCAGCTCTAGCTGCTTGTTGCCGTGTGGCACTGGGCCTCCATGTGGCCTGGTGTTCGGCAGCCAGAAGTGTGGGTTTCTAAGGGAAACGTCTTCATTGTACCTCTTGGCACCTAATTTGGTTGTGCTTTCCTTTTTGTTATTTGCTTTTTTGGAGACATGATGCGGGCTGGCTCTGCATGGATACTGCGTGGGTAGAACATGTGGGTGGGTCTCCTGTGTTGGGGGTGGCTGCAGACCAGCCAGGACTGGAGTCTCCTGCCACCCACTTTGTAGCACTGTGGCCCTGGGCCGGCTCCTGGAGCTTCCCCTTTGTCTCAGTTTCATCCCTTATAAGATAACGAAGATCAAATAGTTCCCCTTCCCGAGGTCTGTTTTCCGCTGAAGATCATCCTCTACTTTCCCCTGAGGACGCAGCCTGCCCCCGGGGGCAGGTGTGGATAGTTCCCTAACACCTGCAGTTTCCTGGAGAGGTGCCCTCAGGGAGGGGCCTTGGGCGTGGCCACAGACCCTCTGTCCTCTGGTTCCCCGGCATTCAGTGGTCCCCTCGCCCCTGTAGGTTGCCAAGACCCGTTCCTCCTGATTCTCACATGCGGCCCCGATATGTTTCTTTACGAATAAATGAAAAGAACAGATTGCGTTCTGACCTTGCCTTGAGCTATCTGCTCTGGGCTTCTGTCTGCAGATACGGCCTTGGAGAGAGAAGGGCGTATCTAGGACTTGTCCCCATCACGGCCAGCAGGAGCCAGGCCGCCTGAGGACCTGAGCGCAGGGGATGAGAGGGGTGTCAGGGAGGGGCGGCGACTGTGGCAGCCAGAGCTGATGGCCCACTTGCGGGGAGCAGCCTCCCATGGCTGGGGGGACGCAGGCCCCGTGTGGTTGAAGCTGCTGATTCTCAAGAGAGCTTGTGCATCCAAACTTAACCACTTCAGTAGTTTTTAAGTCGTATGTATGTGCTTTGTTGTGGAATAGTTTTAGATTTACAGAGAAGTTGCAGAGGTAATACATAGAGTCCCCCCCCCACTTTGTTAACAACTCCCATCACCACGTACCTTTGTTGAAACTAAAAAACCAACCCTTGTCCTGCCCTGACCAGCGTGGCTCCGTGGATGGGGCATTGTCCTGCAAAGTGAAAGGTCTCCAGTTCGATTCCTGGTCAGGGCACACGGCTGGGTTGCAGGGTCTGTCTCTGGTCAGGGTGTGCAGGAGAGGCAACCGATGGACATTTCTCCCTCACGTCAGTGTTTCTCTCCCTGTCTCCCCCTCTCTCTAAAAGTAAATAAATCTTAAAAAAAAAAGAAAAGAAAAACCATTTAGTGGTCTGTTGCTACCCACAAAACGCCACACTTGATTTCGATTTCACCAGTTTGCCCTGGTGTCCCACTCCTGTCCCAGGCCCCGCCCCCACCCCCCAGAGACCGCATCCCCTCCTGTTGTCGCGTCTCCCGAGTCCCCGGCTGGCCGTCTCTGAGGAGCGGGGACCTGCGGGGACCGTGTCAGAAGCTGCCTGCACACTCCATGCCAGACACTCTGCTAAACTCCAAGAAGCAAGGGCCGTCACCGCTGCAGGGAAGCAGAGGAGGGCTCAGAGAGGCGCAGTGACTTCCCCAGGGTCACACAGCTCACGCTGGGTGGAGCTGAATTCAAACTCCAATCCGAGTCCCCAGTCCAGCTCCCAGAGTGCCCGCCGGTGTTTCTCCGACTGTCCCCAGACACCCACTCCAGCAGAGCCTTGGAGCCTGGCTGAAAACACAGACGAACCAGACCAGACTCAGAGGGGCCTGGGGACCAGCATTTGACCGGCTTCCCTCCGGGGATTTGGACGTCCTGCAGCACCTGAGAGCCGGGCGCGTCCGGCCCATCTGCGTGCCGAGGACGTGGCGATGCGGACGTGGGGCTTCTCTCTCACACACCGAAGGGCTGGGCTCGGTCCTCGCCTCCTGAGGAAGACTGGGGCCCAAGTGTCCAATGTCAGTGAGCGAGGGAGGGCAGGGGCTTCGTGAGGTTCGCAGTTACTTTTGGGGGTCCTTCTAAGCGAAGGAATCGAACATGAAATGAGGTGCATGGTGCACGGGAAGCAGCACCGGCTCTGCCCGTACAAGGCGCCTGGCCTAAGCTGTGTGTTCCCTCAACGTCATTACTGTTCATGATTAACTTGTTAGCGTTATTAATTCCAGGGCAGTGAGAACTCTGCTCACCTCGACTTCAGTTTAGGGATCTGGTGACAGGTTAGGAAATGAAGGAATTTTGTTTGGGGCTGCTGGTGGTGGTGATGGTGTGGCGGGGGGAAACGATTCATCTGCAGTTCGGTGAATAATCCCCGGCTGGGTCTGGGTCCCGAGAAGTGGCGGGGTTGGTCCCCACCTGGGACCCTGGGCAGGTGCCACTCAGCCTCTCGGCCACCAGCTCGGGCCCAGCTGATCCCAGAGGCTGGCGGGAGGACGCAGTGCCAGGGCAGGGGGCCTGAGGAGCTGTTTTGTCCCTTGCAGATCAGGAGCGACACTTCGCAGATCTTGGAGGAAGACATCCCTCTCCTGAAGGCCAAGGTGACGGAAGTCCGTGGCATCTACACCAGAGTGGACCGGCTGGAGGTGTGTCCAGGAAAATGAGCTGCTCGGTGGGATCCGGGGGCTTGTTCTGGCTCTTCCGTCCTGTCTTCCAAGATACCGGCCTGGCCTCGGGGGCCAGGCATTAGACCCAGTGCAGGGCGTGGGGGCCTGCACTCACCTGGCACTTAAAAAACGTGACACAGCCAATTTAGAGACAGTGTCCTAGTTAAAAAATGTGGGTACTTTATATAAAAGTCTGAACATTAGGCTGTCAACTCCCACGTGATCCAAATTGAGAAATGGAACATTTCCAACGCCTGGGCTGTCTTGTAGAGCCGGTAGCAGCTGCCCCTCAGACGAGGCACGTGTTCGCTAGTTCACCGCAGTCCCCACCATGCCCTGTTGCCTCGCCGCTGCCTCTCTCCCCCGACTGCTGCTGGTGTGGGCTGAGCTGTGCAGCATCTCATTTTCCTCCTCGCTGCCCTGGCAAGTTGGTACCCTCCCCGTCCCATCTCCCGGAGGAGGGGCATAAGCTCTGAGAGGTAAACCACTGACCCCGAGTCACACAGCTAATTCTGTGAAGCTGGCACTCCACTTCTGTCCACTGGGGCTCAAGCTCTTCGTTGAACTGTGGCCCTCAGCTCGGGCTCTTGGCTCTTTGCACAGAGAAGGACCGGGAGGCTGGGAAGGAGCGTGCAGGTGAGTAGTGGCCACCTGGGCAGAGGGGACGTGGGCCCCTCCGAGCTGCAGAGGGAGGGAGCGAGGCAGTCAGCACTGGAGCTGGTGGAGAATTAACATTCTTGTCAGCAGAGAAGGCAAGAATATAATTAAAACTTTGCCCTTGGAATAGCTGATTCATTTGAATTTTATTCCTCACGTTGGAGAAAGGGGGGAAAAAAAGCGAAGATTTGCAGCCCTGGTTCTTGCCTTGCCCGGGTCGGCCCAGCTGTCAAGCCCGATTCTTTCCGGTTCACTGACGTTCCTTGCGGGCCTACTGTGCACCACTTGGAGCGAGAAAGACATACACAGTAGTCCCGGCCATATTCTAGCAGGAGAGACAGGGCCACATGGCGTTACCTTAGCAGTTTCCTGTTGCCACCACCACAAATTGGTGGCTTAAAATGTGGGTTCATTGCCTTACAACTCCAGGAGCCCAGAATGTGTCCCACAGGCTACAGTGGGGTGTCAACAGGCTTCCTTTGGAGGCCCTGGGGGCGAACCCACGTCATTGCCACATTCAGCCTCTAGGAGCCGCCTGCATCTCTTGGCTCACGGCACCCCCCTCGGTGTGTGGAGCCCACCGCCTAGAGTCTCCAGCCTCTGTCCTATTCCCCCCTCCCCCCCACTTCCCTCTCTGTAAGCCCCTGGGGTCACCCCAACCTACCTGGGTCAGCCAGATCATTGCCCCCGTGCGGGAGCCCTCGCCACACCTGCAAAGTCCCTTTTGTCATATAAGGTAGCATGTTTCCAGGCCCAGGAATCAGGCCGTGGACATGTTTTGGGGGCCACGATTCTGCCGACCACAATTACCAAGGGTGACTCAGAGGCACCACCCTGGGCCGCAGCTCTCTCCTCCTCTGTGAATCGGGACTGTGCCATTTGTCCCTCCAGGGTCCTTGTTAGGCCAGCGCCTGGCTCGTCTAGGTGCTCAGTGAGGACAAGCTGTCATGGTGGTCTCACCCACAGGCTGAGAGAGGCCGAATCCGTGAGGGCTGCACACTCGCCACTCTGTCCAGCCGGCCACGGGCCCCCGGGGCTTCCCAGGAGCCCAAGACCACCCAGTTCTCAGATCAGTGTGACCCACTGGGCTGGGGGCGGGGGGAGCTTGGGAAGCATGAGGTGACCTCTCAGGCCAGAACTTGGCCCTTTAACAGTTTTAATCAAAAAACTAATGTTTATTGAGCCCCTGCTCTGAGCCAGGGACTCATTGCGCTTTCTTAGTAAGAACTCGGCAGCCCCGGGAGGAAGGTCCTGTTGTCAGTTCCGCTTTATAGAAAAGCAGCTGCGGCACAGAGAGGGGAAGCGCTTTGGCCAAGGTCACACAGCTAGGGAGTGGTGGAGCTGGTACCACAAAGGTCTGAGCGCCCGACTGCTCCTCGGTGCTGAGTGGTGGCACTTGTTGGGCAGGGACTTGCTCTGAAGCTGGGCCTTTGCCAAAAACACTGGAAGTCACAAGTATACTTTAAAACAATGGGGCTTTCTCTCTCCTCCCTTCCTCCCTCCCTCCTTCCCTTCCTCCCTCCCTCCCTTCTTCCTTTCCTTCCTTCCCTCCCTCCCTCCCTCCCTCCCTCCCTTTTTCCCTTCCTTCCTTCCCTCCCTCCCTCCTTCCCTCCCTCCCTCCCTCCTTCCCTGCCTTCCCTGCCTTCCTCTCTCCCTCTTGATAATAAAAGTTACACATTTTCAATGTATAGAAAAAAACACAGAGAAGTCAGGTCACCCATACTCCATAACCAGCCGCCAAGGTGGCTGTGATCAGCTGTTATGCCTTTCTGTCCCCCAGCCCCCGACCGCGTGGGTGCTTGTGTGTCCCCCTCGGTTGGCTGCAGGCCGGCCGGGGTGGCCCAGGTTCGGCCTCTCCCTGGCAGGCGTTCGGGAGGCGGGTCCGACCTCACGAGCCCACATTCCTCGGCGTGGCCTCCCTCCCCGCCAGCCTGGTATTAGGGCAAGGAGCGTAAAATTGGAATCGGCTGGAGGAAGGGCCCGCGGGACTTTCTTCTGTTTCACAACCAGATGTGCTGTCCAGGCGAGGCCTCCAAGCTCGAGGGCTGGAGCCCTGGTCGGGCAGCTTCCGGCCTGTGGCCCCTTGTCCCTCGCACTGCACGTACACATACATGTGCACGTATGCATGCACACGCACATCCCATGTGGCTTATTCGGCCTCTCAGCGCTGCCCCTGCCAGAACCCCAGGGCGGGCAGCGGCACCATCCTGGGCTCACCCTGTGTCTTTCTGCTGAGGACGCATCGACTCATTCATTCACACATGCGTGCCTCCGTGCCTTTGCTGTCCAGCTGAGCCCCTTCCGGCTGGCCAGGCTCGGCCTTGGCCTGTGCGCAACACTGACTCAGCACCTGCTCTTTCAGGGCTCGCGTTCTGGAGGAAGCTGGTCTGTGAGTGGACAAGGAGTCCAGGGGGCAAGGCGGACTCAGAACACGGGTGGCTCCCCAGTGGCTCGGGGGCTGTGTTACAGCAGGGACGGTCAGGGGTGGCCTCTCTGGGGAGGGGACAGTCAGTCTGGGGCTAGACAGACGAGCAGCATGCATCCCATCCAGAACGGAGGGAAGGGTCCTGAGGCACGGACGGAGCTGGTGCAAAGGCCCTGGGGAGGGAGAGTGAGACCTGGGGACCGCTGTGTGACTCTGGGCAGGTGACCCAACCTCTCTGAGCCTTGGTGTCCCTCCCTGGTAAAACAGAGGCTAAAAATAGGGTTCCTGTGGGGAGAGCATGGGGGGATACACCGAGGGCTTGGCCGTGCTTGGCTAGCAGTGGGAGCTGTCACTGTCCTGGTCTGCGTCCCCAGCGGCGGCCTGCCCGCCACGCAGGCCTGACCTCTCCAGGAGCCTGCCTGCTGGTGACCGTGGTCAAGGGTCCGGCTTCTCCGGGGCCCAGGGAGAGCCGTCAGGAATGCACGGGCAGGTGTGGCATCCCCGCTCTCCCCTCCCCCGCAGGCCTTTGTCAAGATGGTGGGACACCACGTCTCCTTCCTGGAAGACCACGTGCTCCGGGCCGAGCGGGACCACGGGGCCTTCCCCCAGGCCCTGCCGGGGTGGAGGTGGCTGGGCTCCAGGGGGCTCCCCTCCTTCAGGAACGTGAGTATCTCCCCACCGCCCTCCTCCTCCCAGACCCCGGAGTGGGAGAGGGGCTCAGGAAGTGGGAGGTCAGAGGGCATGTCTCATTTCTGCAGACAGGAAACCGTGTCTGGCCGGCCCCGGGGAGGGCCGGCCCAGGTGGCTGGGGGTCTCAGTTGCTCCCTGAGGTCCCTCTTCTTGCTCTGAGCTTGGAGCTTCGTTGCTGTGACCTCTTGCTTATTCATCCACCATTGATTGAGCGTCTGCTGTTTGCTGAGCAGGGCGGTCCCTGTGGGCGGGGTGCTAATGGGTAGAACCCAGGGATGCTATGAAACTCTCGGCTGCGCTCCACACCACGGAGGGTTCTCAAGCTCTCCATGCACGCGTGCGGTGCCGAGAGTGAGAAGCCCCGCCCTTGGCTGGCTCTGATCATTATAACGGCGGATCCTGTCGTGTCTGTTCTGAGTGCTTCACGTGCTGTGCTGCATGGGGTCCAGTTCACACGCCAGTGGAAGGAGGTGCCTTTATCATCACCCCCCCTTTTGGACGAGGAGACTGAAGCTCAGGGACGTGGAGGGACTCCCCTGAGGCCACACGGCCTGGTGTGACAAGGACAAGGTGTCTAGCCAGCCAGCTGCCCCGCCCTGCCCTGGTGGTGGGGTCTCTCACTGTTCTTTGAGGCCCGTGGGGTCTCCCTCTGCATCTCGGTTCTCCCATCCCGCCTGCCTGCCCCTGAGTCTCCGCTCCGTGTTTCCTCGAAGGCTCGAGTGTTGAGTGTTTGCAGTGTCCCGGCCATGGGGTCGGGCACTTCGTGTGCATCACCTCGTTTGCCTTCGCCGGTCCTGGTGCGCGCTGGGCATTACTGATTAACGTTACCCTCCTCTGACAGGTGAGGAAACGCAAGTGTGGAAAGTGTCAGAGGCTGCAGTCTTGCAGCCCAGGGACAGAATTTGGCCCACGTGGACTCCTTCTGTCTGGCCAGGCGACGTTACCTAAACCACATGACTTGGGACGCCTGACGAGGCATTTGCTCTCCAGTCCCTGGCAGGCCCCCACTGCCCCATCTTGTCTGCCACCTGCCCGACACCCGGCCTGCTCACCTGCCACCTCCAGGTGAATGACTTGCTCAAGGCCAGTGACAGCTAGGCATGGCCTCACAGATCTCCCGGTCTAGGAACTCCTATTAATCCTTTAAAACCCAACTTAATGCCACCTCTTCTGAGAAGCCCTTGGGGATTTCCCCCTCTCCAGACAGCCGCAGTCTTTTTCTGCCTTCCAGTGACAATGAACTCATAAGCTGCTCCGTTTTTCCCCTTCTCCTGGAGTTACGGTAACTCCCTGGGTGACCAGGAATGCCCAAACACATAGTGCTTTGCCCCTCAGTGGTTTCAGTCCCTCGACTGCCCATGGCTCGCTGGGCCCTCGGTCTCTGTACTTCACGTTCTGTTTCTGTCATCTGTACAGTTGTCCCTGTGTGGTTGGCACTGGTGTCCCCATTTAGGGGCAGAGGCCAAAGCCTGGAGAAGGAAAGGCATGTGGTCTGTGGTGGGGTTTGAACACAGGCTCCTGTGGCTCTGAAATGTGTGTGTGTGTGCTGGGGGGGGCGGGTTTCCTCGCACGCTCCTGCAGCAGGATCCCACCGGGGTGTGGCTGAGCATGCTGGGACCTGCACCTCCTCGTCTGTGCCAGACACGGGGGCCCCCCAGGCCTACCTGTGGTGACTTGTTCCAGGAAACTTGTCGCAGCCCAGGGGTGGTGAGTCATTCTGCACCCCCAGCATGTTGATCTTGGCCCCAGGAGGGCTGTGTCTGGGGCAGGCCGTGCCAGTGAGCAGCGCGCACACACACGCACACGCACATGCATGTGTGCAGGCCCAAGGGTTTCTAGGGTGCAGGTTGAGGGGCCTTCTAGAATAATGGTCGTCACGACTTGTGTTGGGCGCCCGGACTCTGCAGGGACCTCACATCCCACCTCGGGAGGCGGGTCTGGTCGTCGTCCCTAGTTCACAGATGGGAAAACCGAGGCACGAGGGGTCGGGTGGCTTGCGCACCCAGAAGTGGTGGAGCTGGGAGCCTGCGGGACCTGGACCCAGCGCTCTGCACTGCTCGGCTCTGCCAGGCCTTTCTGGACCCGGTTCCGACCACCAGAACCAGTCAGGGGGGTGGGGTCCTCACAGGGTGCCCCCCCGGATGACCTCCCTTTCTCCCATCGGGGTCTCCCCAGGCCAGGACCCCACGCTGTCCGGAGTCAGGCCCCCCCAGTGCGTGCTCATGGTGCGCACCGCCCTTCCGTGACCGCTGCCGGCCCCCCGGAGCCCACCCGGCCCCTCGCCCTGCGGTAGTGAGAGCTGCTCCTCGCAGCCCGGACTCCACCTCCCGCCCCGTCCGCCCTCCAGGGTCCCGAGGAGCAGAGGCTGGATGGGGCGGGGACTCTTGAGCCTTGTCTGCACTGTGGGCATGCCGGCGAGGGGTCCTGTCCCCGTGGGGCGGTACTCGTCGCTGTTTCCCGTGGGGCCCAGGAGGGAGGGCGCTCAGCCTGGACCCTGGAGCTGGGCAGGGGTCTTTTAGGGGGGACAGGGAGAAAATGGCCCTTGCTTTTTCTAACTTTCCTGGCCCCACCGCCCCTTCTTGCCTCCTTCCTCCCTCTGTCTTCTTCCTCACTCTGCAGAGAGGGTGCGGGGGCAGCTGGGCTGGGCAGCTGGGCTGGGCAGCTGTGTCCCTACCCCTCTGCCCCAGCCCCAGCGGCCCATGTGACTGGGTGCTGGCTGTAACCTGGGCTGGCCTGGCCTCACGTACCTTGACGGGGGAGGCCCAGGAAGGCAGGAATACCACCTCCCAGCAAGCCCCCCTGAAGCCCAGGCCTTGGACCTCGAGTCGAGCTGCCCGAGAGGCTGCAGTCCGTCCACAGGCCCGGGGCCAGCCCGGCGCCCTGGGCCTTCGGCGTCCAGGCACAGAAATACCCGTGTTTTCCTGTTACAGTGTGCGTTCACGGTACAAAAGTCCCGATTTCCATGCACTGTAGAAAGGGACAGTTTTTTATTATACTTTTACGTTGATCCTTAAAACGCTCCAAGGTTTTTTTTGTTGTTGTTGTTTTTTAAGATTTTATTTATTTATTTTTAGAGAGGGAAGGGAGGGAGAAAGAGAGAGAGAGAAACATCAATGTGCGGTTGCTGGGGGCCGTGGCCTGCAACCCAGGCATGTGCCCTGACTGGGAATCGAACCTGCGATGCTCTGGTTCAAAGCCCAAGCTCAGTCTACTGAGCTACGCCAGCCAGGACACTCCAAGGTTTTCACTAAGAATTGTACCTCTCGTTTTCTGTGGCATTTTTTAGCTGTGTGGCTGGGGACCGGGGGCCGGGGGCAGAGCCATTGTCAGCCTCGAGGAGCTAAACTGTCAGTTAGCTGACAGGGACAGCATCCTGTGACGCAGTTTGGATTCTGTGCAAAGTGACGCGGCCTCCAGCAAAGCAGCGGGAATAAGAAGGAAGAGGAGGACCCCAGGAGCCTCCAAGGAGGGCTCTGAGCGCTGGCTGGCGGGGCTGAGAAGCCAGCTCTGCTCGGAAATAAGGTCCCCGTGCCGGGCAGACCCCTTTGTCACTGGGCAGAAGCAGGGGTCATGGCGTGGGGACGCAGAGCCAGCCCTGCAGAGCCAGGCACCATTCATTCTCAGCTTAGCCCCCACCGGGTGGGGGCTGCTACGCTCCCTATTTTCCAGGCGAGGAGAAGGAGGTGCAGGGAGGCTACCCGAGGTCATGCAGCTGGGCCTGAGCTTGTGAACCCCCATTCTTCGCAGCACCCCAGACTTTCCGGGGCGTGAGTTGTGAACTCTGCCCTCAGGGAGCTTGTGTTTAGCAGGTGAATACAGACAAGGACCGAGTCCTAAGCAAACTCAGAAGGTCATTGTTTTTAAAGGGGGCCGTGGTGTGCTGTGGGTGGGGGGTGGTCAGCGGTGGCCTTGGAGGAAGAGCCCTGTCGGCTGAGACCTGCATCATGAGAGAAGTCAGTCTGAGGCCGGACTAGAGGGTGCTCCAAGCCGAGAGGACCCCAGCACAAGGCTCTGAAGTGGGACCCCCCAATGCATGCGGCTTGAGGAGGAGCGGGAAGTCGGGGTGCGTGGTGGAGTGAGCAGGGCCTCGGGCCACACAGAGGAGTTTAGAACTATTCTAAGGGCAATGGGAAGCCACGAAAGGGTTCGTAGGAGGGGGTGACTCGGTCAAATTCTACTCACCTGCAGAAATTTCCAGGCTGCGTTCTCTGCCCTGAGCTCTGGCATTCGGGGTGGCGATGTCTGGCTGAGACTGGAGCGCAGGTCAGAGCAGGGCACGGGGTGCTCTCCAGGTTCCAGAGTTCAGCTCCTCAGCCAGGAAATGCACCCTGCACCCTGAGCTCTCGGGACCCTTGTCCGAGAGGAAGAGAGGAATGAGGCTCCAGGTGAGGGCCCCAGGTCTCTTGGACTTGGGGGGGGGGTGGTGCTGGGTCCCGAGACCCTGCATGCAGAGGAGGCGCCTGCCCACAGAGGTCCCGGGGCGTCTGGAGGTCGTTTGCAGACGTGAAAGCATGAGACGGAGCTACAGTCACGGGAGCCCGGACCTCGGAAGGGCAGGGAGACCACGTCCGGCGTCACTGTGTCCCGTCCCCCGAGCCCAGGCCCAGTCCTGGCCCGTGGCCGCCACAGGTGTGCTGCTAACTGCGCCTGGCCTTCCCCTGGCCGCGTGTGCCCCCGGGGGCTCGGCGCAGCCTCCGTAATGTGTTGTAAAGCACTGTTTGTTTTCTGCTGAGCCAAAACATCTTGTTCACAAGAGGTGTCATTTTGATTAATTTTCCGACGGATGAGAGCGTGGTGCTTTCCAAGGAAGGCTCTTTGGGTAACAGCAAACCGCTCAGGGCCAGATCCCGACACCCTTGCCGGGCCAGGCTGCCTGGGGGCTGGTGGCCCGGCCCGGACTTGGGCCTGCCCAGGGCCCCCCGATCCCCGCACAGGGAAACCCGATAACGAAAATGAGTGTGTCTGCCAGGTGT